AGTGCTGTTGGATAGTATTTCAGTTTTGTACTGAACAGTTTGTTGAGTTGTGTTTATCTGTTCAGGTGAGGACAAAACAACAACAACAAAACCAACAACAACAACAACAGATAATGCTTTAACAGAACGAAAAGGTAATGACTCTTTTTTTATTTGATCTGTCTCGGTTTATCTCTCTCTCTCTCTCTCACACACACACACACAGAGAGATACACACACACACACACTCTGTGTGTTTCTTTGCTTTCCTAATACTTTCTTCCTTTTCCTTTCTTCCTTTGGTGGTGGGGATTGATTAGATAGTGCTGTTGTTGTAGTTCAGGGTTGTTTTCAGTACAGTAGTGGTGATGGCCACTCGGGCCAGAGAGGTGGAAGGTGGAGGTGAGCCCTCAGGTGAGAAACCAGGTGAGAATATGTTGAGCTGTTTAAAGTTACTTGAAACTGATGTGAATAATTAACTAAAATATTTGTTCATTTTATGGTTTTAAAGTTTGAATATTACATCATACGAACAGGCAGCCTATCAAAACTTGGGTTGCAGTATTATTTTCTAATATTTTCAGTATATCCTCCTTTTATTAAGATGAGGTTTTGGGAAATGTTTGAAATTGAAGTCAGTCTCCTGAGGGGTATTGCACAAAAGCAGAATAAAGAAATCCAGGATAATGCACGTTTGCCGAGCCAGGATTAAAAGGTGTTAAGCCAGGTGTAGATAGTCGGGATAAGTGCATGTTCACGGCATACTGAAATAGACCTCGCGATCGCTCACAGAATCACCGATGGGAACATGGATAAGAGTCGCTCCTGATGGAGTTCTATGAAGAGGTGAAAGATATCATAAGAAAAAAAGGCAATACCAATGCCATAATTAAAGAAAGAGAGAAAGCCTGGCAGACAATAGCGGACCGGCTTAATGCTTAAGTAGTCCAAAACTGTACAATTAATAAACAGTGCTCCACTGGAACTGTCATAATTTGGCTTCAATTAAAGGACTAAAGGAGTAACTTTAAGTCCACTAATCAACTGTTGTACACTTTGCTTTAAATGTGGCAAGTACAGGTGCATGTTACTTAAATGTAGAGTATGATTAAGTGCAAACAATTATCCACAATGTGTGTCATTTAATCTATTTTTATCTGTTTTATCTTTCTATCCTTCATAAAGAACAAACTTGTCTGGCCATAAAAGGACCTGGCAGCAAGTTAAAGTTAACTACAAGAACATTTTGCAGGCTGGAAAGTGACTATAAAGTAGATAACAGTGAACAAATGAGGTGAATAGATTAGGTGTTTGCTGACATGTTGAATGTCTGTATGATTGTAGCTGTTAAAAAAAAGCCCATAGAACTGGCACAGGGGGCGGCCCACCAAGCCAGGATATGTACGGAAAATGGTTCCTTTATTGAGGTTCTCTGCATCCCCAACAGAATAAAGGAAGCTCCCACTTGCAAAACATCTCACTGTACCACAGACCATCTGTGGTACAGTGAGAACATGGCTTCCTGCCGTCTGGTGCTGTATTTTTGGACCCAGCAGCCTACATAAAAATCTTAATCCATCACCTGAGAATCTGTATCTCTCAATGAGATAGTCATCTCCAACAGCCAATGGGTCTGACCTGTCCCGGGAGACTCTTTCATGACTAGATGCTCGTCTGAGGATTAGGGCTTCCTCATCCAGCACATCCTCCAAAAACGGCCAAGCCATTATGAAGAGGGAACAGGTGTGAATTTTATATATATATATATATATATATATATATATATATATATATATAGTGTATATAGTCTAAATGCATGCTGTTTAGGAAATTAATCTTTGTATATATGGAATGAATCTTTGAATATATGGAATGAATCTTGGATATACTGATAGAAATGTGAGAATACTGAATGAAATTCAAAACCTAGTTGTATCCTTTTCATCAAAGTGATGAAAAGCCTTCTGAATTAGCTGGTTTTACAAAATGGCATCAGTTGAAATATTACAATACTTTCTGGAACTGGAAAACTTTTTTGCTTTTTCTGTCAGGATTTAGCCTGAGGCCTGTTGTAGTTGGCCTGCCACGATTAAAAAAGAACTTCTTCATCAGGATAACGGTATTGGGCACGGGTACTATGGGAAGGATTTTGGCCCGTACAAGCACTTGCCAATGAGTTCATAATGTCCTCATTGCTCAGTATTGCTGCCACAAGGTTCCTGACTGACTCATTCTCACTTCTACAAGATGGCAGCAGTGCCTTGATGACCAGTCAAGTTTCATTCAATATATTCAAAGATTCATTCAATATATTAAATGTTTCCTTCCATATATTCAAAGTTTCATTCCATATATTCAAAGATTCATTCTATATATTCAAAGATTAATTTCCTAAACGACATGCCATAATATATATACTATATTGCCCTTGTCACAGATTCCATTGAAAACACCTTTGCAACTTCATCAGCTGTGTTTTGTAATCTCAATTACTGCAATAAAACAAATATTTATGCAATTTGACAAGCAGTCTTCATTAGCATAGCAATATAACACTTGCCCTGAGTAATAATACTACCACTTGAATCAATATAAAAAGACTGTTGCAATTACAAACAGCCAACAGATTTAAATGAAAGTTTAAATCACGAACACAAGTCGTTCCTTTTATGCACGGGCATTTATTTGCACATCGGTGGTCAGTCATGCCGTGAGAACTAGATAAATTAAAATAAACAAATCACAATTGAGTTTCATATCATACAAAGCATTTCAAAATAGAATAACATCAAAGGAATATTTCACAAACATAACAAATACCGTATATAATGTACTCGATTTGCTTACAACATGCATTGTTACGTTAATTGAAACAGGTAATATTAAGTCATCACGTTACTCCGTGAGCATCTTAAACATGTGTAAACATAATGTAAACATCACTCTGCATACCTCATTGGCCGCGTTAACTCAAGGGGAGTAAGAAAGGAAACTTCAAACGTCGAGTCTCATCCAAATCTCCGTAGCATTAATAAGTATCTTCATAACGTCATCTTCTAATTAACATTCCAGGTGCTCTGTTACTCGTGTGCTGTGTAGAGTCTAAATAATGACCCGCCCCTCTACAACATAACATTAGTTCCGCTATTAAATACACATATCTCTCTGTGTGTATGTGCATGCTCTTAAAATACACTGCTAACAGAAATATGATCCCTTAAAACGTAAATTATTTTAATTGTTGACTCAAAAGTATAAAATGAACTTAAACTGTATAACTGTCTCTGACGGCAGCTACAATATATGTAATATTTTAATGCAGAATAATTAAAATGATGCAACATACTTAGAAAGACCATGGACATGCTGTAAAACACATTAATTCCTCACAGGATTGACGGTGGAAATACAGGTGAATCACTAGGATTAATCTTAGCCTGGCTGTTAGCCTGGTCTGCAGCAGGCTAACTGCAGAGAATAAATCACCATAGTAACTTAGCCGGGTTAAGTTTGAGCTGCTTCCATGCAACCGACTTGAGGCTAAATTAAGCCAGGATAACCAACATATCCCGGCTTAATCCCTTATCTTGGTTTTGTACAATACCCCTCAGGTGCAGGAGCCCGGATTTGAAACAAGTTTTGATGTTGATGCATCTGATTTATCAAAGAGTGAACTTTAGATCCTGACAGACACATTGTGTCACTGTTTAACTGTGTTTCATTAGTAAAGGGTTGAATGTTTTCAGAAGTGCTACACAGTGGCTGTGTGATGACTTTGTATATTTTGTCAAACTAGTTGCAGACTGTTTCACTGGATGCAAGTTCTGTACTAACTAGTAACAGTTTGATTTGGTTAAAAACTATCAGATGAATCTTTAAACACTTTTGTTAAACATGGTAAACAAGGTATTTTCTCACTGAACAGTTTATTGGGTTGTGCTATTTTATTCATGCAGGTGGCACAAAAACAACAACTGTATCAACAACAACAACTGGAAACAGCTCAACATCAGGTACAACAGCAGTCAGTGATACTTCAACCAAACAAGGTAGGAACTCAAATATTGTATCTGTCTTTCGTTAAAATCTCTCTCTTCCTGTCAGTCTCCTTCACTCCACATATTTAACTCATTTATTTTATGTTATTGTTGTATTTGTATTTTGGTGGTGATACAAAAAGAAGACAGGTTGTTAATTAACTCACTTTCTGGAAGGACAATAATCTCCTTTCATCGTGGTATGAAACAAAAATATAGGGTGATCAAAAAAATTATTAATATATATATTGAGGAAGTCAATGAAACTATGTGTAATGCTGGAGGACAAGTCTTGTTCCGAAATGAAATACATGGACACTTGTAATGAGATCTGGTTTGGTTTTCTTCTTTTAAAATTATGAAATCTATTTTTTAGAAAAGAATAAAGTTGCATTTTTGCCATTTAGAAACTGTAATGTAATTACTCTCTCTTCTCTTTTGAAGTGTAAAGTATGAATGTCAGAGTGACACTCTGCTCTGGGTGAAGATATTATCTTGTTCAGTCAGTCCAACAGTGTTGTTGCTCACGTTTCCAACTATAGTCTGTTGAAATCTTCTTTATATTTGAATTGGATCAACTACCAAAGTACTGAGTAAATAACTGAGGAAAGCAAATGTTCGGGAACAGAAAAATAATATTAAGGAAAATACTGTAAAGTGGAAACATGATGATTTAGTTCTTTGCAACACAGGATAATAAATAACCAATAAGATGCTGTCCTCTGAGTTACATAAACTGAACAGAAGACAAAGCTGCAGCTGAAAATGTGTTTAATGTTATTCTTCTCTTTCCAGTTTGGTGGCAGTGGTTCATCATTGTGTTTGTGAGTCTTGCTGCGCTCTTAATAATCATTGTTGCTGTCATCAGATGGAAGAGAACTAAAGGTGAGAGCAACCACAGATTAAACTTTTATGAACAAGAAGTTTTGATGAACCAGGATTTTTATTGTGGAAACTAAAGTCGACTCTCTTTTGTCTCTTCAGGAAAGAAATCACAGACGGATAAAAACAATGTGAGTTGTATGGTTGAGGAATCAAATGTTTATACAGTTATGACGGAGTTGAATGAGCTCCTCTCTGACAGTGTCATCAAGTAGATTTTATTTTTTTTATGTTTCTCAGGTACAGAGCTTAAACCCTGCAGAGAATCCAGAAACCTGTCAGGACACGGTAAGATCCCAGACTACACCCAGTACAAAGTTACACTGCAAAATGTAGCTCTGGGAGACACACAATGACAGAATGAACAGAATACAATGAAGTCCACATGTTACTGAGCAGCCATGATGTTGTCTTCTCTGTGTAGGCTGATCCTGAAGATGGTGTTTCCTACGCCTCCATCAGCTTCACCAAGAAGACCAACAGTAAAGGCCGGGTAAGCTGTCTGTTTGGTTATAGTGATGATGGTAGTGAATGAAAACACTTCTGAGGTAATAAAAACAGGAAAGATTCTTTATTTTACCATTAAAGCTCAGGTCTACATGGAAGGATTGTGAAGTCTGTGTCCAACACTTTGGTCCAGAACTAAATATCTCAACAACTACGGACCAGAGGTGTTCAGGACATGTACAAACAAATCTCATTTATGTGGTGCTGGATATCATAATGTTGCCATATTCTGTATCATTTAATGCTGTGTAATTTATGTGTTGTGCTGTTTGTGTCTTGTTCTCCAGGTTCGGGGTAAAGGTGATGATGATGATGATGATGAAACAGTGACCTACGTCACTGTGAAAGCTTCCTCTTCTTCTGCTGGAGCCTCTGCTGATCCCACCAACCTCTACGCCACCGTCAACAAACCAAACAAATAAGAGACCACAGTATAGTTACAGCTCATATCATCACACTTATTTTACATTGATAACTGATACTGATAAATGTTTGACTGTGTTTCTGTATTAGATGATCATTTTCAGGATTTATTGCTGTAATAAGCCTTTTTGTCCAGAAGGGGAAGTAGTAGGTTAACTAGTAGCACAATGTGAAAAGCAAAAGTAATAAACAGTGGAGAAAGAAGTATTTATCAGAATCAGATCAGAATCAGAACTTTATTGATCCTCTGGGGGGAAATTAGTTTTGTTACAGTTATTCAAGGTGCTCAGACATTAAAGAAATAATAAAAAGAAGAAGAATGTTAAAATGGGTATTATATTACAATATCTAACAACAATGTATATAGAGAAAAGAAAAATAGATACAATCGGAGTCTGAACTGTACATTATAATACAATATATAAAATATACAAATATATGTTTGCTAATAGAAATATATGTATGTCAGATCCTTTACTTCAGTACTTAAGTAAAGTAAGTATAATCAGTCAAATCTACTTTAAATACCAAAAGTAAAAGTACTCATTATGCAGTAAAATGGTCTCTGTCAGTGTTTTACTATTATATAAGATGTGTTTGGATTAATATTACTGCTGCATTAATGTGTATGTTGCATTTTACCGCTGTACATGTTTAAGGTTGAGCTCATTGTAACTACTTTATCTACTGTAGTGTAGTTTAATCTAAAGCAATGCATCATATTCTGTGAAACCATCATATGTCTGTAGTGTTATTGTCCTTTAGGAACCAACTATCCACGTTTTAGCTTTGTGACAATGTATTTTCCAGCTGATCCAAGAAGGTTTTTAAATAGTTTGTTCAGGTTAAGACACATAAAGACACTTCATCCTTCAGTTTATCAGAAACATTCAACATCACCAAATCTGGAGATACATGGTATTCACTGGACAGGAAGGGTATGAGAAAATGTAATCTGAAAGGTAACTAGTAACTAAAGCTGTCAGACAAATGTAATGGAGTAGAAGTATAAAGTGTAATAAATGGAACCTGGAATTTGTACTTAAGAACAGAACTTGAGCAAATACACTTAGTAACATTTCACCGCTGGTAATAACACATTATATGACTGCTTGAAATGTAAATAAACATTATTCTGCTACATTTTGCTTCATGAATTTGATGTCAGGGAATAACTGTTGTGTAAGTTGGAATTTTTGTAATAGTCACTTGTTATTGTTTAATTGCAATAATTTAAACATCCATGTTATTGTCTAACTTCCTTTAATTTGCTTTTGACAAAATAATTTAACCTCTACTTTAAGATTAACAGATCAGTTTCAAAGCAGCAGCTTGATCTCAGTTGTATGTCTCTGTTTAAGAAGAACTCATTTAAATGAACCCACATTTATCATTTTTGTTAACATGTTTGTTACGAGTCCAATGTGTGTTTTATTTGCTTTGAGTCTTAAAGCTATAATATGTAACAATTTAAGCATTAAAATGTCTAAAAAACCTAGACCTATGTTATATATTTTGATGAGTTGTTTCTTTACATTATCCCAAATGTTTCCAACAAAGTTCAAATCCAGACAATTACATTAATTTTATTCTGGTAACGGTACATTTCACCAGTTGTCTGTCACTGGTGTCATATTCCCCTTTGTCAGCATTGGTGTTGTCTGCCAGAAGATGTCATAAATTGACTTTTTATCTAGTTTTAAACCACATTTTTATGAAACACTTTTTACATCTTGGCTATTTTTAACTGTATATTTCAACTGTGAAGGACTTTAATCACTGGAAGTTTGGATCTCAAGTTATCAGAGAAACAAACTGAACTAATGTTAGCAATGTTTTAAGGTGAGAACTTTTTAACTGCTTTAAGTGTTTTCACTGTGTCGTACAACAAGGAGTAACTCAGTAACTCAGTAAGTCAGTAACACAGATAATACCTTCCCATGTATGTTACCTTTACTGTTACCAAGCAAAGACTGACTTTACCAAGGCAGCCCTTTAAAACCAGTAGCCCCTCCCACTAGGCATATATATGTGATGACAAGAAGGTCATAGAATAAGTTATACTGTTTAGTTCACAGGAAAAGCCACCACCCACATATATTATTTAATATTATTTATTTCATTGCATTACATTAGTTCATGTTTATTAAAATGTGCATAGTTTTATGTTGTTAAAAGAGCCACTGCTTCCTGCATTATAGTAGAAAGGTGTTGTTGCTCCCTTCAGCCACAAGAGGGAGAGCAAACAGAGTCAAAGCACATACATTGTATGATAGTGCTCAGAGAAAACGCTGGACAGAAACGTGTTAACAATGTACTCAATTCCTGTGTATTTTGCAGTGCCAGTAAAGGAAGAAAATACTTAGTCTTTATTCACGTGTGCAACATATATTTTAAATACAAATTATTTATAATTTCTCCCCTATTCCCCTTTAACCAAGACAATTTTATGGCAAAAAAAATATCACAAATAAAACGTAATTATTCTGTCCACATGACCTGGAAAGCGAGATTATCGTATTAAATTTCAATTCAATTCAATTCAATTCAATTCAATTCAGTTCAATTTAATTTAGCGCCAATTCATAACAGAAGTTATCTCAGAACACTTTTCAAATGGAGCAGGTGTAGACCAAACTCTTTAAAACATTATTTACAGAGACCCAACAGTACCACCATGAGCAAGACCTTGGCGACGGGGGCAAGGAAAAACTGCCTGTTAAAAGGCAGAAACCTAGGACAGATCCTCCGGCTCTAGGTGGGTGGTCGTCTGTCTCGACCAGTTGGGGTGAGAGAGAGAGAGAGGGGAGAGAGAGAGAGAGAGAGAGAGAGAGAGAGAGAGAGAGAGAGAGCGACAGACAGACAGACAGACAACAGCCCTCTGTGTTGGCCCCTGTTTGGCCAACCAACTCCTAATGTGAGACAGCAGCACAACTCTGCAGCGCTCTTCCATCAGTGATGGTCAGTTACACATGAATGTATGGATTCATGGACAATGAGGTATTGTAGGTTGTTGTATGTTTATTATCCTCAAACACAGCCACCACTAATCAGTGTTTATCCATTTGTTGCAACTAATCTCAGTGACCCCAGTGGTTATGAGAAGGATATGAGAGGGGATACCATCAACCTTGTTAGCAACTTGACCAAAATGCACATCCCTCTCTGCATCCCCCAGTAACACAGAAAGAGTGCAGGGGCAGAGGGGTTCTTTGGTTGAATATATGAGGCTAGTCTGTCGGACTCATTGATCTTTGAACTGACTGATGTCTGTGCGAGTTAGAATCTATGGCCTCGACCATGACTGTGAAATATCAGTAGTGTAACTGTGCTGTGTACTGATAAATCCATGGCGCTGTCCGTGGTGCTGAAGTAGCAGACTGATGTAATTGCACCTTTTATCTCAGTCCTGCTCTTCTTTCAGTTTCGTCTTGGAGCTGTAATTTGGATTCCTAATGGCAGGCAGTATAGTGTGTTAAATGTGTGTTAAAAAGTGAAAAAAATTCACAAATACTTTATTTTTTTGCCATAATATTTAATATATAATATAATAAAATTTTTCTCATTTATTTCAGAAGGTGGGCGGGAAGAATATTTTTCAAGATACTATAGGAAGAGCAACTGAGTAGAGATCCCTCTCTCAGGACAGACAGACAGGAAACAGATGTTGTGTGTATAGAATAGACCAACCGAAAAATTACAGTATGGATAATCAGGATGATAAAGTTATAGTTAGATTGTAAGAATTCATGAAGAATGTGGATATGGGAGGACACTGACTAACAAACTGACCTGAGTCACATGACCTCCTCTCCACCATGGAGAGCTGGAAAGAGGACAGACTATACAAACTCACAAGAGCAAAGCTCAAACACACAACTCACACAGAAATAAACACACAGAGGGAGAGCGAGAGAGCACAATAGAGGCTGAATCTCCCGGAGGACCAAGATCCAGATCCAAACATCTGTAACAAGTAGAGAGAGAGAGGTCAGAGGACAGCCGGTGGTACAGCACAGAGGAGTGTTCACTGTTATTTTTGTATCACCTGTTAATGTTTGATATGCAGTCATTTTAACATCTGTATCTCTGTTCAGGATCTTTTTGATGTTCTGGTATGAAAGTAATTAAGGCAAACTAAGAGGAAGTGGGACAACGCTCATCTTGACTGAGTCACTTTTTAGAGTTGAATTAAACAGCTGAATGACAGGAAACTGTGGAAACCCAAAAGGGTTCAATTTCCACTGCTGTTCATTCCAGATACTTCAGGTCAGCTCATGTCAGCCATCAGTGAAGGAGGAAGGTAAAAGCTGATGGTCTGCCTCCATAAAAAGCAACAACTGACGTATGTGAGAAAAGAAGAAGGGTATAGTCACTATGAGGAAGTGACACTTTACTGATTAGAGGAAGTATATTCAACATTTCTCTTTAAGGAACTCTAGTTTACAGACTTACAAGTACAAGAAGCAGAGAGACAGAGAGGCACGATGGTTGAATTCCAGAAGAATAAAAACATTTAAATGTATATGAATGAACAGGGACTGTAAATCAGTGTAAATGATGATAAGCTGCTGCTGGGAACTGTTCATGTTTCAGTCAGACAACTCACGTTTGAAATGTTTATTACAGTAGTATAGCATATTTAGATTTTGCCGTTTAGGCTCCGACCTCATCATTCCCTGTAGATATGTTTACAAAGGGATATTGGGGAGTGATGAGCACATTCTTCAAACCCTTAGCCGGAGTCTACAGGTGGATGCTAGGGTGGTGGTGGGGCTTACAGAGCAGCAGGCAGCAATATGGATGCAGGGCAACATTGACAGAGCAGAGGGAGAGCTGGAAAATTGTGCAGTTTAAATAGTCCGCCAGATTGGAAGGGTGTGCTTGGTTAGTGATTATGGAGTGAGGCATGTCATGTGTATAGCAACACAGCTCGAGTTGACTGCCTGAACTAGCTCGCAGGCTTCACTCCATTACTGTAAAGCAGGACTGTGAATGTCTCACTGTTTGTGAATCCAAGCAATGAAGTGGTCAGGTTCAGCAGCAGATAGTTATTATTTCTTATGGATTAGTATTCAGTAATTAGTAATCTACTGTTTATTCTGGTGTGAATGAAAGTGTTAACTAAATGACTAAAATGTAAAAGTTAAAGTCTTTGGCTGCTGAAATTCATAGAGGAAAAAAAAGAAAACATGTATGCTGAGCATTCTTCAACATAAATACACAACTTAAAAAACACACACTGAGGAAGTGACACATAATTTATCACAGGAAGCAGAGTTATTCCTTTTAACATGCACCACTTCACAGACTCTGACAGTCAGTTCCTGAGAAGAGACATAAAGAAGACTGAAGCACGATGGTTGAATCAAGATGGATTAAAATGTCTTTATTTCTGATGCTGCTGCTTCACTTTACAGGTAAGGATGCATATAGAATAAACAGAAATACCAGAAACATTACAAAACAAACTTCAGCTGGATCTAAGATTATATTCACACCAAATCTCAACATAAAAGCCTATTTATTTAATTCTTTTTCATCTTTTCAACAGCAGTGACTGAACAACTCTACCCCCGTATTGTTGTCAGAGTTGGAGATGAAGTCACTTTGCCTTGTGACAATGTGAGAGATTATCAGGACAAATGTCAGCGTACTTCGTGGCTCTTTGTTGGTTCAGAAAACACGTCAAAACGTCTGATTGACCGTGGACAGATTGGTGAAAACGCCAAAACTAAATCAGACAGACTGAGTGTTACAGCGAACTGTTCTCTGGTTATAAGGAAGGTCACAGTCGAGGATGTTGGTCAATACACCTGCAGATACTTCAACAATTCAGGACATCAACAAGGTCCAGACTCTCAGGTTTATCTGTCTGTTATTACCAGTGAGTACCTACATCATAATGTTTTCAGCTCAAACTGTCTTGTTAGAACAAAATACTGAAACATTACAATAATTAGGATTATAGTGATGAAGTTCATTTTACTCTTGTTGTCTTTCTCTCACAATATCTCCATCTTCACCAGTGACTGAACATAAGGACTCTGATAAGGTGACATTAAGCTGCTCTGTGTCGACTGACAGAGGGTGTGAACACAGAGTGAAGTGGCTGTATCAGGGTGAAGATCTGGATAAAGA